TATTTTTATTATTTAAATGATTTTTTTACAAGTTTTTTATTTGACAGCTATGATATCAAATTATTTCAAGAGATTAAAGAAAATTCCAACGGAAATTGTTGATGAAGAATCAACTGATATTGAGGTTAATCAAATCCTATTAGAAGAAGAAGCCTCACAACATCGGCAACAACACCAAGTAAAAGAAGTTCAACCTTCGATCGGGGTGTTCAATTTAGATGAGCTTGAAACTGATCCAGGATTGAGGATACCAATTAACGAGATTTTTTGTACTGACAAGCAAATAGAGGAAGTTCGAAGAGCATACTTGCTGAAAGGCCCTTGCCAACCTAAAGATCATAATTTTCCTTTCATTCTTTTCGAAGATAAAAAGCGTAGGTTTACATTAGAGTGGTACGAAAAAGGTCCAAGTTGGATGGAATCTAGTGTGGCAAAAGATTGCATCTTTTGTTTGAATTGTTATCTTTTCAAAACCGATTATGGTGACCAAGCATGTGGTGAAGTTTTTCTGAGTAAGGGATTTAATAATTGGAAAGATAAAGCGAAAGTGAAAAAACATGTTGGAGATCATTCTTGTACTCATAACCAATCTCATGCCAAGTGTGTTGATTTGATGAACCAAAGGCAACACATCGATGTAAATCTTGATTGCGTGTCGAAAAAGGCCAATTGGACTATCGTGTTCACTTGAATGCATCAATTGATTGAATTAGATTTCTTTTACATCAAGGATTCGCATTTCGTGGTCATAATGAGCCAACTGAATTTTAAAATCAAGATAACTTTCTGGAACTATTGACGTTTCTATCGAATCACAATGACAACATAAAAAAAAAAAAAAAAATTGTACTAGAAAATGCTTCGAAAAACCATCAAATGACAGCCCCCAAAATCCAGAGGGAACTAACTAGTGTTTGTGCTCATTTAACGACCAAGAAAATTATTGTAGAAATTGTGAGAGATAAACAACCATTCTCTTTACTAGTTGATGAATCTCATGATGTGACAGTGAAAGAACAAATGACTATTGTTTTTCGCTTATGGACAAAATAGGTTATGCTATTGAACATTTTATTGGGGTTGTTCATGTTAAGAGTACTTCTACAAAGTCTTTGAAAATTAAAATAGATGCCTTTTTTTGTGGAGCATGGATTAAGTTTGACAAGTTTATGGGGGCAAGGTTACGATGGAGCAAACAATATGAGGGGTGAGTTCAATGGTTTGAAGACTTTAATATTGAGAGAAAATAAATCTACTTTCTATATTCATTGTTTCTCTCATCAACTCCAACTAGCACTAGTCAAAGTTGTAAGTAACCATTCGGCATTGGGTGAATTTTTTCAATCTCTTTCTTTGTTATCAAACACCGTAGCAGCATCTTGCAAGCACATAAATCTTCTACATGATAAACAATATGAATATGTGATATCTTTGATTTCTAATGGCGATCTTCAGACGGGACGAGGTTTGAATCAAGAATGCACTATTAAATGACCAAGAGATACACGTTGGGGTTCATACATAGGGATAATTCATAGTGTCATAAAGTTATTTTCTTATGTTGTTGATGTGCTCAAGGTGATTGAGATTGAAGGAGATGATTGGCAAAGGAAAAGTCAAGTAAGGAGTTTATTACGAATCATGGAGAATTTTGAATTCGTCTTTTTGTTATTCTTAATGAAAAGAGTATTGGAATCACAAATGAATTGTCACAAGCATTACAAAGAAAAGATCCAGATCTTCTTAATGTCATATAGTTTGTATAAATTTCGAAGAGTTGATTGCATAAAATGAGATATGAAGACACTTGCTTCGACATATTGTTAAAAGAAGCTTCTGATATGTGCAAAGATAATGACCCACCAATCCTAGAGAACATGGAAGATAACTTTGGGAGGACAAAACGAGGGATTGCGCCAATTACGAATAAAAATCATTTTAAGACGGAATTGATGTATACAGTTTTAGATAACATTCAAGAAGAACTCAATAATCATTTGGATGAAGTAAACATGAGGTTGCTTCAATGTATGGCATCTCTTGATCCAAGTAACTCTTTTGTTGCAATTAACAAAGATAGATTACTTGAATTTGCAAAGTTCTATCCTGCCGATTTTCCTCAACACGATATTTGGTTGCTCGATGATCAACTTGGAAACTATTGTGAGGATGTTAGCACCAACGCCAATTTCACTCGTGTCGAAGGGATTGCTGACCTTGATAAAAAATGGTTGAGTTTAAGAAGGATATTGCTTATGACAAAGTTTTCTTGCTTATTAAATTAGCATTGGTTTTGCCTGTGGCTATTGCAACAGTTGAAAGAGTATTCTCTGTAATGAATCTCGTGAAAAATAGTATGCGTAATCGAATGGGAGACAAGTGGATGAACAATTGCTTGGTGGTTTACATTGAAAAGGAAGTTTTTGCTACAATTGAAAATGAAGATATCATTGAACACTTTTAGAATATATCGAAGTGGAAAATTGTGTTAAATTGAAGATCTTCATGTATATCATTCTAACTTGCTTTCATATCTAAACAATCAATATTCATATATTTGAGTGGAATATTTTTGGTGGATTGTGGTTGTTGTAAACTCTTTTGATTATTTTGGATCATTAGATTCCTGTGGTTTTTTGCTCTTTTCACATTGAAGAGGTTTTTCTATGTAAAAATTTTCTTGTGTTTTCTTGTGAATTCAATGTTATTTTCAACATATTTGGTCAAGGTTTTGCTTCTCATAGATTTATTCAAGTAGAAAAGCACAATGTTATTGCATTCTTTCCTTTCAGGTTTGATGGTTTTTTTTAAGTTTTCACTAGTTGTTTGACAAACAATAGTGGAGTCATGGAGGCCCCCCTCGGCAAAAATCCTAGGTTCGCCACTTCCTGCATCTCCTTGATAATTTTCTCTTGTCCAAAGGTGACAAAGTTCACCTCTGCCTCCAACCGATCCAACCGCTACTTCTCCATACTTGGCTCTGATACCAATTTGTTACGTGCATTTGAAATTGACCAAGTAATAAGACCTTGAGCTTGGGATTGGTGAATGGTGGAGTTGGATTGGGATTTTTTCTTACTCTTCCCTATTGTGGAGTAGGGTAGAATAGAATTTGATCAGGAAATGTTGGAAGAAAAATGAATAGAATGGTGATAGGTTAGCTTCTAAGGAAACCTTGAGCCTTAAAAAAAATGACAATTTTTAGAAAAGATGATATATTATTTCTTACGGGTTGCTTACATTTATAGGAAATAAATAACTATCTTTTCCAAATCTCTCAACAATCAACTGACAAAATCATAAAAAATCTCCAACCAATACTAAAACAATTTGAATATAATATTAAGACTTATTCAAATTCCTAGAAAATCAGCAGATAACAAAATGATTCTAACCAAATATATATTATTTATTATTATAAAAATAGTAAAATAATTAATAATGCTATTTTGAATAAATGAAGATAAATTAGGTCAAAAGAGAGAAAAATTAATCTAAGAATCATAATATATAGGAACTCTTTTCTTAGTTATACTTTATTCATAAGATAAAAAATTGAAACAAAATTAAAACATATTTGAGATTTCAGAAAAATAAAATAAATTAAAAGTGGCAACAATGTTGGGATTTGGACAAATTGATAAAATAAAATAAAGGTGGTGTTAATTAATTGTTAAAACTTAAAACACGATATAAGGGTATAACTAAATTTTCCAAGTTTAGTGGGGGCATGAGCCGCCACTCACCCCTGAGTGGCTCTCTCTTGGGATTTTAACTAATAAAGAGTCCAAAGTATAAAAAAATTATTCAGAAATCTGCATTTAGAGGGGTCAAAAGGTACAATTCATCAAATAAGAGAGGTCAATGAAAGCAATAAAATTGATATATTTATATATATAATGTTAAAATTTTTGCCATATTTCTGAATGGAAAAAGGAAGTTTATGTATGTTGCTCTGAATTTATCATTTAATTTTTTATTGATATGATTAGGATATCAGTTTTCCGTATTTAATATAATATTGCCGCATCAATAATCGCAACTATTGAGATCCTAAATTAGGATCTTTACTTTGTTTATATAATATTATTGTTTATTTAATTTTTTTCGGATGCAAGGTGATTACTTTACACATATAACTCCGCTACGATAAAATTACTTGAATGAATTAAAACACTGACCTTAGGTTTGAATGAGCAACAAAATCTTCCTAAGGTCTCTAAAATAATAAAAATCTTTTTATTGTCAAATTTCAGGTATTAAAATAAGTGATAAGAGAACAATTCTATAACTATTTATTCAACAGAATTAACCAAGTCAAATTTCTAAATATAACATGAATATAGCATCGATGTTTCAAACCTCCAAAATGAATTAGCAAAAACACATCTTATCAGAGAAGCTCAATTTTTAATTGTTTCATAAGCCTGTCTTAAAACAAACCAAATGAGAACGTAAAAGAAAAATAAAAAATTTTGTATACATTCTACTGCTTTTGACGATAATATTTGCATTTCAAATTTGGCTGCATGGGACTACCAAGACTAGAGCAAAATGTCTAGCAGAATTTCCACAGGACATTGCTGGATTAATCACAACCTAAAGTAGGATTTAGAAGAATCAACAACCACAAAATGTTCTTCCAGGACATTGCTGAAAATTCACCCCAAAAAAGCACTAAAAATGGGTATGGATGAATCTAAACAGTTTAGAAAAATCTACACACATCTTCCACGAAAATAATTCATCAAAGGGAAACAAATCATATATAAACAATTTCAAGTCGGGGACCTTAAGTGCTTCCCCTAATTTTGTATCGAAATTTCAAAGATGCTATACAGGTAAAGTAGTGTTATACTTATATCTTAACTTTAGCCTGGATCTTATGCTAAGCAAGTAGATACTACCTATGCAATCATACAATTATTGAAAAATAACTAAGGAAATGGAAAAACAAAAATTTTTGTATCAATAATTTCAAACAGAAATGAAAATGTATCATATGCAATATTTTGGTAGAATTATAAGTGATAAGCTTATATCTAAACAAGGAACAGTTTTGTATATGTTATTTATAAATTGAATAACAGTTTCAGTATAGACGGCTGAAGTGGAGAATTTGTCACCAGTAATCTTGGCAAGAACAAGATCCGTCACTAAAATGGTGGAAGCGATTTCGATCTCGTATGATAATTTCTCTGTTAAACTTATGGGAAACATGCTTCATGAAACAATGACAATCACGACAAATTCGAAGATTCTTCATTATCCTGATGGTCTTTCTATCTTTATAATTGAGTAGTGCAAAAGCAAATGCCAACTTTTCGCTATGATAACTTACACTATACTCCTTCTCCTCATCTTCTATATCATGTAACACACTGGATGTACAGGGAATATAACCTTCATCACTGAGACTACGAATAATGGAAACTAAAAAATCTTTAGTTTCATCTGATTTGGGAAGAGAATTATCTCCGGATACAAACTCATGAATAACTCCATCCACATTAAGATAACTATACCCAGGTTCCTTGCTGATTCTCTTCTCCCTCATCGAAGTTCTCACCACTGCCTTCTCAACCCATTTACCAATTCCACCATATGCATTTGACAAAAGCACATAATCACCATCATGACTAGGGTCTAGCTCATATATCCTTTCTCTCACTTTCTCTGCCAAGTCAACATTCTTATGATTCACACAAGCTCCTAGCAAAGTCCTCCAAATAACTACATTAGGCCTGATGGGCATCTTTTCCACAAACTCAAAGGCTTCATTCACCAAGCCCGCACGACCAAGTAGATCAACCATACAACCATAATGTTCAAGCATTGGTTCGATGTTATGTTCATTCTTAATGCTATCAAAGACTCGCCATCCATCAACAACTAAACCACCATGACTACAAGCCACCAAAACAGCACGAAAAGTAATATCATCAGGCTGCAAACCCAATTCCTTCATCTCATCAAACGCTCTCAATGCCTCCCTGCCACGCCCATGCACTGCAAGTCCATTAATCAATGCCGTCCATGTTAAAACATTTCTCTCAGGCATTTCATCAAATATTCTGATAAAATCATCAACCGACCCACATCTTGAATACATATCGATCAAAGCAGTACCCAATGGAACAGTAAGCTTCAAATCACTCCTTCTAACAAAACTATCAATCCATCGCCCCAACTCCAACGCCCCTAAACTCGAAACCGCAGATATTACACTAAGCATGGTAACTTCATCAGCCTTAAAATTCCCAACTATCTGCATTTGTTTGAATAAACACAATGCCTCGTACCACAAGCCATTGTTGTTTAAACAAGAAATCATCGAAGACCACGAAATCAAATCTTTAACAGTCATTTCATCGAACACTTGGCGTGCAAATTCAACATATTTCAAACCCCCATAAAAACTAATCAACCCATTCATCGCATAAATGTCAGAGTGAAAACCCAGCTTCATTATCAAAGAATGTATTTCAAATCCTACTCGAAGACGAGAACCAGCCTTGAGAACGAAGGGGAAAGTGTAGTGATCAGGGGAGACAAAACGACGGCGCATGAGAGTGAAGAAAGAGAGGGCGTGGAGAGGAGAGGAGTGGGAGTGGGCTCTGATGATAGTGTTGAAAGCCAAAGTATCGGGCGAGTGAATGTTGGCGAAGAGGGAGCGTGCATAGGATAAGCTGTCGGGTGCGCAGGCGGCGCACGATAGCAGGAGACGGTGGAGGGAAGATGGGTCTTCGTGTAGACCCGTTTTGAGAAGATGGGCGTGGAGTTTGTACACATTGTTCATTGGTGGACGGACGCCACCACCATTGTTGCGAGCCTTCTTCTTCTTGCAGAGGGTTGTACAGTGGAGGATTGAAATTGAAAAAAGAAAAGTATTGGTAGAAAACGATGTCAGTTTTAGGAAAAATGAATTGAGGATTTGTTGAGGGGTAATACACTTACAAGTAAGTTTTACAAAGATCCCATGACAAAAAATGAATAGAAAAGTAAATTTAATAAATTTAACTTTTTGTTTCACTCTTTCATTTATTTTTTGTCATCTCAATTTAATGAGTTTGGCTTTTTGTTTCACTCTTCCATTTATTTTTTGCCACCTCAATTTAATGAGTTTGACTTTTTGTTTCACTCTTCCATTTATTTTTTGTCACCTCACTTTGTATATAAATCTTTGTAAGATTTTTTTGTAAGTATAGTATTACTGTTTGTTGAGCCCTTCAACTTCAGTCTAATATTTGTCCGTTTGGTTTGTTATTTTAGATAGGATTTTAGAAATAATATTGGATAGTTGAGTAGGGTTATTATTACAAGAATAAGATTTGGATAAAATGTGTTTGGTAGAGTATTTTGGCCTTGTTATTTCTGTTGAATATTTGATTGATATATTTTTTTTATAAATGATTTATTAATATAATATTTTGCTGCATTTTGTGAAAATAATGTGTTATTATAACCTTAAAATTTATCAATTTACATTTTAATAATATTAAACATTTTATTGGTAATTTCATAACTAGTAAATATTAAAAAAAAAAAAAACCCCCTATTAATTTTAAGTACTAATCCAACTGTTTAAAAACACAACATTAATACATATATGACAAAGGTACTAATTATCAACCCTTAGAATCGTTGTTATACATATACTCCATTAACAACTACGACATAGTCATATGTGCTGCTCACAGTTCAGTCGTTATGTTATCCCGTACAGTCGTATGTTGTCTATAATACCTTACTGCGGTTGACTCGGTCCTTCTCCATTTCTGCCATCTTCTGTCCCGTTTTGGCGATCACAATATACTTGCTCATTACTCGTATTTTCAGTATATCGTTCGAAGATAGGGTCCTCCATATTATACATTCTGATAAAATTATGAAGTACACAATATGTCATAACAATCTTCTCTTGTTTGTCCAACGGGTAATTATTCATTCCATTCAGCATACGGAACCGTCTTTTTAAAACACCAAAAGTTCTCTCGACAACATTGTATAGTGAAGTGTTAGTAAACGGTCCCGTATACGCAGCGGAAACGAAAAATATAATATAACAGGATCGTTTACATGAGCCAAGATCAAGGGTATGATTTTACAATTTATATTAAATAAAATCTGCATAAATATTCAACATGAGTTAAGAGAAACAAACGCACGTTGAAGGCTCCTCCAAATGTTGTCGACGAACGCTTTGCTATCGATCCAAGTGTATGATCGAACCTGCGTAGTCCACACGAAGACAATCTTAAAAGAACCAAGAGGGATTTGCTAGATCTTTAGCTTCAAGATTAAGAAGAAAAGAAGAATCATGAAATTGATTTTAGGCAATAGGTGTTACTGCCGTGGGAGAAGCAAAAGGGCTGCTGTGTTTTTTTTTTTGGTTTTTCAAAGAAAATCCTTAATTAAAATCACACACACTTTTCCTTTATATTAAAAACAATTTGCCCTAATCCCATACGGAATAGGCTTGGCGCAACCAAATGCCCCATGTTGCCAAACACTCCCAATTTGATTTATTTAATTTCCATCATTATCTCAATTAAAATCAATTAAATATTATAACATTTAACAATAATGATAATATATTAAATAGTGTGAAAATATTAAACGTAATTTCACTATTTAATTTTTCTAACAAATTAAAAAAGGCTATGACCTCAGCAAATTTATTGCACTGTGAAATTACCAAAATACCCCTTTCACCTTAAAAGACGAAAAGCCCTTCTTTCTTCTTGCATCTTAAATTGTCTTCTATGTGTGTGACCCTTAGGCTCCTCATCATATCGGCAGTGTATAGTATTGCGATTAACACCAATAATCGTCTCACTAATACACAGACCAAGATTGGCCCCTAGCAAGGCATCATGGCCACCCGATAGATTCGGATTCAGCAAAGTAGCTACCTGTCAACGATTGGTTACCGTGCAATTTGATCCTTTCATCATTCGTTATCTCGACGAGACGAAGGCATAGAAATAGTGTCAACCTTCGGTTACTCTCGATATTATTTATTCAGTTTCTGGACCATGACCCGATTATAAACTGGATAGAGCAACAACTCAATCCCACTGTGGCCACAGTTTTAGTGTCATTGCCATATACTGAATTACGCCGTGAGATAACTTTCTCCTACCCGAGAGTGATAAATCCTCTGTCAATCCACCATAGTCTTGATACACTCCTTGATGCAGCCAATCACCACCGTATTGACAGCTCTGAAAGAAATGCGTTAGGCTAGTGTCAAACTACACCAATCGATGCACAAGGCGCTCCGGTGATCTCAACTAAGGATCACATGCACCACCATGTTAGAGGATTTGTTCCATAGACACTGGGGTTACCATCCATATGGAATCCTTTGGTGGGTCAGTCCAGTGAACTTGCTGCGGTATATCGCCTACAACAAGACCCATGTGTTGCACCAGGTTGTCACCAAACAACCTTGAAAGTGAGATCAGTCACTGCCTTTTGACAGGGTCGTTCAACAAATGATAGCCTTACCGATTATCTATGCCCTTAGTTCAGAATAATACTGGGGCTACGGACGTTTCTAGAATGGCCACCATATGTGCTCATAGGGTTCTCACTATCAAGATTTGAAAACACTTGATACCCTCGTCACGGCTCTACCTTCTAAGGACATATATTAATACAATTGCAATAATAATGATTTACGCGAATAGAATAAAAATGCCTTTATTGATTAATGAACATTATTACAAAGAGTCAATTCTAAATAATGATTGGCTCTAGGGCATCTACTCAACAATCTCCCACTTGCACTATAGCCAATCATTCATGTATTTAATACCAAATGATCTCAAGTGCCTGTCGCTTCTGCGCGACAGAGGCTTTGTTAGTGGATCTGCGAGATTGTCGTCAGTATGCACTTACTAATCTGCACGTCTTCCTCTCAACTATCTCTCTGATGAGATGGAATCGTCTGAGTATGTGTCTGGATTTCTGATGACTTGGTTCCCGAGTTGAGCAATTGCTCTATTGTTGTCACAATAGATGTCTATAGGATCAACAACGTAGGAACCACACCAAGTTCAGTAATGAACTTCTTATTCTAGACTGCCTCCTTGGCCGCATCCGACAATGCAATATACTCAGCCTCCGTTGTAGAATCCGCTACAGTGCTTTGCTTGGAGCTCTTCCAGCTCACTGCCACCGCCATTGAGACAAAATACAAACCCTGATTGCGATCGATAATCATCTTTGTCCGTTTGGAAACTGGCATCACTGTATCCTCTACAGTGAGCTCATCTTCCCCTCCATAAACCAAGAACATATCTTTAGTCCTCTTCAGGTACTTAAGAATATTCTTGACAGCCATCCAGTGACGCTCACCTGGATCCGATTGATATCTACTACAAGTGCTCAAGGCACATGAGACATCAATCCGAGTACATAGCATGGCACACATGATGGATCCTATTGTTGATGCATATGGGATCCTCTTCATCCTATCTTTATCTGTGTTTTAGGACACAATTCCTTAGAGAGATAAACACCATGTGACATCGGAAGAAATCCTTTCTTGGATTCTTCCATACTGATAGTTTCAGTACTTTGTCAATATATGCACTCGACTTAGGCCAAGCAACCTACATGATCTATCACGATAGATCTTTATACCAAGGATGTAGGCCGCTCCCCTAAGTCCTTCATGGAGAAGCACTTGGATACCAAGTCTTTACCGACTGCAAGTTCGGTATATCATTCCTGATCAGAAGTATGTCATCGACATACAACACTAGGAATGCATATACGCTCCCACTCACTTTCTTAAACACAGGGCTCATCTTCGTTCTTAATAAAACCGAATTCTTTTACGGCTTCATCAAAACGAATGTTCCAGCTCCTTGAAGCTTGCTTGAGTCCATAAATGGATCTCTGCAACTTGCATACCTTATTAGCTTGACTATCAAGAACGAACCATCAGGTTGTGTCATATACACATCCTCCTCAGGTTTCCGTTCAGGAAAGCAGTTTTGACATCCATTTGCCAAATCTCATAGTCATGATATGCAGCAATTGCAAGCATAATCCGATGGATTTAATCATGGCAACCGGTGAAAAGGTTTCTTCATAGTAATGCCATGAATTTTTTGAAACCTTTGGCAACCAGTCGTGCTTTATAAGTATGCACGTTGCCATCCATGTCAGTCTTCTTCTTGAAGACCCATTTACACCCTATGGGTTTTACCCTTCAGGTGGTTCCACCAAAGACCACACTTGGTTCTGGTACATGGAGTCCATCTCAGATTTCAGGCTTCAAGCCATTTAACGGAATCTGGATCCGATATAGCGTTTTCGTAGGTTCTGGGTCTCGTCTTGGTAGACCAGTACGTCACCATGTTGAGTCACGAGATAACCGTATCTCTCGGGCTATGGCCATACTCTCCCAGATCTACGTAGCTCTGTGCTACTTGAGGTAGTTCACTTTGATCCACAAGTGTGGAGTAACCTCCTCATGATGCTCAACCACTTCTTGTGGCACATCATCCCATCTTCGTCTAGTATACCTGTGGTTCTAGAACTTCATCGAGTTATCTTTTCTCCCACTAGTACTTCTTAGAAAATATTCCTTTTTCTAGGAAGACACCAGATCGAGCAACAAAATTTTGCGCTCTTCTGGGTGGTAGAAATAGTATCATTTGGTCTCCTTTGGAACCCCACAAATATACATTTACAGGATTTTAGGCCAGCTTGTTTGAAGTCAATTTCTTAACATGAGCTTCGCAACCCCAAATCCTTAGATAAGACAAGTTGGGCTTTCGCCCACTCCATAGCTCATAGAGTCTTATCTACAGACTTTGATGGCACACGGTTCAAAACGTGAGTCGCAGTCTCTAGGGCATAACCCCAGAATGATGCAGG